AAGTCGGCAGCCCAACGTCAAAGGGAAAAGCTGTGGGCTGCCTGGGAGGTCAGCTGTGTGCTGGCCAGAGGCAGAGTCACCTCCTGGGCCACGGCCATGCACGCTCAGAGGTTCAGCCCACAGGGACCTCAGGGTGGCCAGGGGAGGAGGCTGGAGCCGGGGGGCTAACGCGGCCATGGCAACCGGAATCCAAGAGCCCAGCCTGCTGCTTTGCACTTCCAGATGCTGGCACATCTCGCATCTCCACGGGCCCTTTGGTAACCAGCCTACTGCCTACCGCGGTGACAAAGCAGAAATGAGGCCTGTTCAGTGCTGATTCACAACACGGGGCCTGGTGGCTGCAGCCCCACTGGGAGCGGCCACTAGCAGCAGGAGCCGCTCCCCAGCAGCGGAGCACGCTGGCAGTTGGGGCAGGGAGGGTGGGGACTGAAGGCCAACACAGCGGGACCCAGGAAGCACTCACCAGGGCCAGTGAGCCAGGGGAGAGCAGAGAAGCGCCCAGGGGAGAGGCCGGGCCCCAGCCTGGCCTAGGCGGGGCGACAAAGCCGGGGTGGAGGGGCAGACCCCACCTCAGCCTGCTGCTGGGCTCATAAAACCGCGGAGCGCCTGCGCAGTAAAACTTTAAGAGGGGCGCCGTGAGCACCCCCTTGTGCCCATTTCAGCCAGGAGCCTCCCTGCCATCCGGTGCAGCCGTTCTTCCGCGGACTCTTCCAGCACAAACCTCTTCCCAGTGCACGGCCACTACGTAAGCCTTGCTGGGCTTTGCCCAGACGCGCCTCTGACTCCACTCCTGGACCTGGTCAAGGACCCAGGGACCCAGAACCTGGTACCATCTCTCAGGTGACGGCAGCAGAGCGGCCACAGATCAGGGACGGGCCCTGATTCCAGCTCCCCACGTCCATCTCCCGGGGGGACGCTGTCCGGCGAGGCCGCAGCACGAGGCGGGCAGCCCTGCACACACAGAGCCAGGTCAGAAAGGAGACAGTGAGGCCAAGTGCCCGAGACCACAGTCCTGAAGGCAGGCCTGTCTGGCCAAGGACCACGCTAATTGTTTTTAATTGGGACTTTCAAGTGGGGTTTAAGCCCGGCGTGTGCCGGGTGGCTGCGAGCAGGACGGGCCTCAATGTCCCCTGAGGCTGGAGCCACGAGCAAAGCAGCTTGTTTCCTCCCAGCTGGGACCTCCCCCAAAGTGTTTCCACACCTATGACTTCGCGTCTATTCTCACGAGGAAGGTGAGTGAGTCGGCATTTGGATTTCGACCAGCCGGCGCTCAGCTCCACAGACACATCTGCTGACGTCCCCAGACGTAAACCAGCCGGAGCCCGGGCCAGGCACGCCACAGCTGCGTCAGCCCCAGTGTCCGGGGCGGGAGCGACCTCTGTCCTGCTGGATCTGCGATGACGGGCGCACAGCCCAGCGGCCCTGTCCCACTTTGGCCTCCTGCCCCCGAGAGCAGGGGCCCGGGGTAGCGTGACCTCCAAGAGCACCCAGGGCCTCAGGCCTGGGGCCATCCCCGCCCTCGTATTCC